GGATTGCACAATGTGGTCCTCTGTTTATTCCCAGCCCTCAAAAGGCAACTTTCACTCATCTTTTTTACATCGAAACTATGGTTTTGTGACTTGTGATGGCTCAAGTGCAGCCCATTTCATTTGTTTGATTTTCTTTTGTTGAAGGCAAACATCTGCACTCCAACTGATTACTATATACTACTGTGTTTCCCCAAAAATAAGCCTGGGTCTTATATTTATTTTTGGTCCAAAAGACCCATTAGGGTTTATTTTCGGAGGGTGTCTTGATTGCCAATGGGAAGGCGCAGTGTGAATTCTGCGCATGAGCCGCGGAAATACAGACACTCATACCCTCAAAGCTCATGCTGCTTCCTCGCTCAGAGCACACAGAGGGGATCAAGCAGGCTGGCCATGAGCCGATCTACAACTGCTGTGGCAGCCACCTGTGCTGGCAGCAGCAAACAGGCAACAAATGCAGCGGGGGAGGGGTCGTCCTCCAAGAGGAATGAAAAAAGGTAGCAATGGCTGGAGATGAGGCACGAGGAGGGAAGGAGATGGAGAGTGGAAGGATTCTTATGTGCTTTTGTGACTTTGAAGTTTTGGGATTTGTGCAATGAGGGCTTTGTGTTCTTAAGGAGTGTTTGGCAATTTCTATTTGGCTGTTGGCTGATGTCTCCTGTTAGCTTCTATTGCTCTGCTGTTGTTAGCTGTAAGTTTGGCTGCAAGGGATTTTGAAGTATTTTTCTCCCAAATGGATTTTGCCTGTAGCATAAGCTTCTTGTTCTGCCTTCAGGTGCTTTGGATAATAATAATAATAATAATAATAATAATAATAATAATAATAATAATAATAATAATAATAATAATAACAACAACAACAACAACAACAACAACAACAAGGAGAAGGAGAAGGAGAAGGAGGAGGAGGAGAAGGAGAAGAAGAAGAAGAAGAAGAAGGAGGAGGAGGAGGAGGAGGAGGAGGAGGAGGAGGAGGAGGGACCTTGGAGGTCATCAAGTCCAACCCCCTGCTCAGGCAGGTAACCCTATACCGTTTCAGACAAATGGCTGTCCAGTTTCTTCTTAAAAATTTCCAGTGTTGGAGCATTCACCACTTCTGGAGGCAGGTTGTTCCACTGGTTAATTGTTCTAACTGTCAGGAAGTTTCTCCTTAGTTCTAAGTTCCTTCTCTCTTTGGTTAGTTTCCATCCATTGCTTCTTGTCCTGCCTTCAGGCGCTTTGAAAAATAGCTTGACTCCCTCTTCTTTGTGGCAACCCCTGAGATATTGGAACACTGCTATCATGCCCCCCCTCGTCCTTCTCTTCGTTAAACTAGACATACCCAATTCCAGCAACCGTTCCTTATATGTTTTAGCCTCCAATCCCCTAATCATCTTTGTTGCTCTTCTCTGCACTCTTTTTAAAGTCTCATCATCTTTTTTTACATCGTGGCAACCAAAACTGGATGCAGTATTTCAAGTGTGGTCTTACCAAGGCATTATAAAGGGTTATTAACACTTCATGTGATCTTGATTCTATAAGGCTTAAAACTTCTTCAGAAATTAAGCACTTTTATAAAGGGCAAAGTATATTTGAGGAAGTAAAAATGATATAAACAATATAAAATTACCTTTCCAAAGGTGAATTGTTGGGAATATTTAAAAAAAGAGCATCAACTTTACATTATATCAACAAAGATAAACGTAGTATTATGCCAAAAGCCATTTCCTGGCAAAATGTTAATGTAAGAATACAGAGTGATATGTCTGGAAGCAGAATTGCTCTCTGTAGACAACCTGGGTGTGAGTCAGAGAACATTAGACTGAATGCTATT